TTATGTTTCTTTTTCAAAGGCAAATTAGATTTTTTAATCTGAGTAGAGCCCGTTTGCCGTTGTTGCGTGTCTCTAAGATTTCTTGACTTCGGTCTTTGTACGTCTATGCCATAACCTGGTGGACGCCGGTAATTAGATTCTCGCCTCAATTCATTTTCTTCGCTACGATTTTGTAAATAATTTAATTCTTTCTCATTGCCTATTAATTTTTCGGACAAAGTGTGTAGCACTTCACGTTCTTCTTTTGCGTCATCAAACTGACCAGGCTGAAGTTTTGAACTTTTTTGCAAAGTATCCCGACCTTGTTTAATCCATAGTTTTTCACCAAATGTGAATGTTTTTCCACCGAGAGAAATTGGGCCAGAGCCACCACGCCCAAAACCAGGTAATGAAGTTGAAAAGTTTGATGTTCGTATAAAAGCAGAAGTGCGTATAGTAGTTTGAGGAGAAGGTCGAAGCATTTTAGTTTCTTATCAACAAATGTGATTGATTTGATTGATTAATATCATGTGACTAGCCTCGCCCATCTTCCACAGAGACCTTCGCGAAAAAAGTGACGGTCGTTGATTCTACTTGAACGGCCACCTTCTGATTGGACGAAATCGACGATCCCTATGATTATTTCAATTCTATGAATTTATCCCTTAAACCGTCTAGCGGGCAAATTTGCCTGCTAAAATTTTTTTTTGTTCGACTTTTTGAAATTGTGTTCCAATTTCTTAAGCATCACCTCCCCTTCTTCTAAGAAAAAATAAAAGAGCATGACTTTGCAGATTGGCATGTGCTTTTATATCACACGTATCGGTATAGTACAACGATAGTTTTAAAAAAAATTAAAAAAATTGATCATTATAAAAATTTAAATGTGTTAGAGTTTTACTTTACAATGTTAACTGAGACTTCGTTACTCCACTTTACAATAGTAACCAAGTTCTTTCAGAAAACAAGAAAGCCTATATACTATTTCTTACATTCCGCCAAAGTTTTTTAAGCTCAGAATTAGGATCAAATAATGAAAAAGAAGAGGAAAAGGAGACCAAAAGGGTTTTCAAGAGAGTTGGCAAAAGCACAAGGGTTATACAAACATTATCACCACCACTACCAAATTTTGAATCTCTAGTTTATGTTAAAGCAAAGCATCAGGAGTTCATCAATTTGCTAGCAAATCATGAAGCCAGTTTCTCAAAACTAGTCAACCTTTTTTTTTTTTTCTTTATGAACATTTTATTAGATAAAATAGTGATCAATACGAACTTATATGTATTAATTAAGGAAGTTGGTATTATTACTAGCAGACAATAGACCAATATAAGTTGTAAAGAACTTATTATTTGGATCACTTTGGTTATTTAACAGTGTATTTTTAAGTTGTCTTTTTTTAATCAATATTGAATTGAAGACTCTAAGTTTCTCTATTATCATATTTCAAAACAAATACTATTGAAGTATTTTGAGCAAATCAAGAAATATCTTTATATCTCCTTCCCTGCAGAAACTGTTGAAAACTACTTCAACAAGTTAGAGCTATTTTTCTTATATATCTGAAATATTTCAAAAAAACTTTATATACTAAGATCAAATGTCTTAGTTGATGAGGTAATGATAAAGTTTTCTTAGCAAAGCGATTACACTGTTTAAATGAAGAATAAACTAATATCAGAAGGCTTTAAGGTTTTGTTACTTTGTAATGATTAGTACATATATACTTTCTTGCTAATTTCATATATCTTTCTATGCAAAGTAGCAAAAGTAGATGAGTTTAGCAAAATTAAAAGTCAGATTTACTATCTTATTACATAGCTTCTATACTAGATATATTCTTACAATATTTATATAGACAATTACTTTACTAGTATTCTACTTTTCTAGAATCTTCAAGATATTAGTATTGGTGTCTATAGGACTATTCGAAAAATAGCTTCTGAGTTTCTAAAAGAACTGAAAATTAAAAAAAAATACTAAAATTAATTAGGATATATATTCTGATATTATAGTAAATGAGGTATTAGCTATATTTTAGCAAGACAATAGTCTAGTAACAATATTGTTAATAATTCATAATCTTGTTGATGACAAATAGAAAATTAAATAGGAAAGATAGTAGTTAAGAAAAATAAATACTAATATAACAAAAGTACATATAGTGCTTAGCTCTGAATTCAAAAAAAAAATTAAAATCTCAAAAATAATAGATAATTACAACTACTATATGAATAGAGTAGATATTGCAGATTAGCTACGATCATATTATAATACTCAAAAAATAGTATAAAAAAACTAGATACTGCTTTTTTTTGGCTTATAAACACTACTATCATTAATATATACTAAATTATCTGTACTCTAGAATTAACTCAGAAGTATAAAGAATTTT